TATGACCAAATTAATTTGAAACGTGGTCCCATGTGAAAGGTAGAAATAAACAAACATCCTTCTTCCCTACCGTTATACTGGTAGTTTCGTTTTGCTTGGTATATCTTGTGACCAGTTGTATTATTCCCTATTGTCTATACTGTTACCTGTCCTTTCCCATGGAGTACTTCTTGTTGGTGTGATCTACAAAGCACACTTTTAGATGCAGCGGGTTGTCTCGAGATATTTTCATTGAGTTGCTCATTTCTAGACACCTTAATTCCTGCAATTTTTTTCTTTTAAGATATTAATTGATCGATTTCATTCACTTCACAATGACCTTTCCAAAACGCTCTCTTTCTAAACTAGTCGTTCGAAATTCTGAATTTCATTCTCACACACGTCTTCGTATCGTAATACTGCTTTGCCTTATCTCTCACGTTTGCTCGTCGACACAGCAAAGATCACTAACAAAGTGTGCGAGCGCATGTTGGAGTAACATTTCTGCTTTTCTCTCACATTTTTACCCAGTCATGTATATTTATATTATCATCCAGGTGTCCGCAGTGCTAGTGCAAATGCCGAAAATGAACCCATTATGGTACATAAAGCTTATTTTGATTTGAATTGGCTTGAAACTGGATAACTTTCTCCGGATACCAGTTTGATAAAAGAGTCCTGTGAAGAAACACTTCTTCACTCTGCAGTATCTCTGGACTGTAAATACACCTGGCTCTATAGAAAAGGGTTCTGAGAAGAGCGCGTTTAAATGCTACCGGGGCGAAGCTGGTGCAATGCATGTATTGCGCACTCCAAGTTGCTTTCCTGTGGACAGTGTGTTGTATTGTATCTCCAGCTTGCCTTTTGATGTGTAGGTCTAAAAGCCGCAGGCGTTGTGACTGTTTGCTAGAAATGACAGTTTGATTTTCAGGGATCCGTATACAGGCAGGCCGATGGACTTGAAATGAGATGCCCAATAGGCCTTGTTCTGATGGAGATCTCCTTGGAAATAATAGAAAGGAACAGTGCCAACGTTATTAGTGAAGCCAAGCTATATAAACTCTACGTGGATGACATCTTTATCTTCAACAGCGAGAACCTTTTGAACCGAATCGTCACCCAGTTGAATTCGACTCACCCCAAACTCTTCTAGTCCCATGACAGGGAACGGTAAGAAAGCTTGTCATCTTTAGACGTACACATCAAAAGGCGTGCCAGAGATGAACTACAACACACTGTCTATCGGAAAAAAAGTTGGAGTGCACAATGCATGCATTTCACCAGCTTCGCTCCGGTAGCATGCAAACGCGCTCTCCTCAGAACCCTTTTCTATAGAGCCAGAAGTATTGGCAATTCAGGTATGCTGCAGACTGAACAAGGGTTCCTACATAGGACCCTTTTGTCATACTGGTATCCGGAGAAATGTATTCAATTCTACGGTAAACCCACAAAAATGAAGCGGCCAGTAAACCGGTGGAGAAAAAAGCTGTTTGTTGAATTCCTCGTTCAAAAGAGACCAGTTTTCAAATGAACGTGGTCATAAATTAGTTCCGCCGTAGCGCGCACACAAAGCGCCGCGTGTCTACGAATGGGTGTAGCCACTGTAATGGGCAGGTGCTGCTTGCGGAACACTTGCATGAAAGCATTTGGGGATTATTATTTGACGAATCACAATTCCAAAGGTTGTGTGACAACAATAAATTAGTTGTGACGCAATAGAGCTATTAAAGCTTCTCAGAGCACTTTCGTTGAACCATGCTGAGATATGCTCACAAATCCTCTGAAATAGGTGCCTCGTAGTATGATCCACTTTCGTGCAACATGACAGCACGATTACTGCAAAAGGAGCGCTAAACGTCTCAACACTGTCATGGTGTTTTTCAATGATTTTGCGCGTTATGGCTTGTTTTTATATCAATTCTCAGTCGGGACGCTAAATAACTCTTCTAAACGAGATCTTTCAAAAGTCAAAATCAGTTATCAGCAGCAGAAACTCCCTTAAATGGCGAGTGAATAAAAGACTCTTTCTTAGAAGCAATTCTCTTAGGCGGCTTGCTTTCGTGTTCCTTTAGATGCGTTGTGATTTTTTTACGTAGATCGCCATTAACTCTCAGGGCCTCACTGATTATCTGCAATTCTTCTTAGGCTATATCCGACGTTTAAATACTGCGCGCCGTGAATGTGAGCGATTGGAACACTCTTTACGTTTACTGCAAAGGTACAGAGCTGTTTATGTTCGTGTATTTCCCACCCTTTGCAAACTTTCATTGCACTAGCTGCAGAGAAGCCGTCATAGTTGCGGATAACATCTTCATCTTTAAAAGGTAGTCGTTTTCAAAACACAATCTCGCAAGTGAAACGGGGATCCTCACGTACGTCACTGAAAGCCTTCATTAAATGAGCCGATGCTTTTACTATTTAGAAAGTATCAAGTCCTCGGAATGATATAATTACATTTCGGTCCCCCTTGTGTGCACCCTAGTCGTGTTCTAATTTTGTCACATAGATATCGGCCAAAGTATATAACATAACTAACCCGTCAACGCGACGGTACATTTAACCACTGAACACGAACTGAACCCTTAACTTACACCACTTTGAGCAACCTTTCCGAAAATGTTACTTAAATGGACAATTGCCGAGGCACTTCGCACATGTATTCTACAATTTCGAGCAACTGAATGTCCGCAAACAGCGACTGGGCGTTAAATGATATCACTATTTTGTCGACTAGGCTACGTTTAGATATGCTCTTAATGAATTTATTTGTATCTTCCAGGTTCTTTGTGCAAATAATATTCCGTAAACGTTAAAGCTTCATCACCATTAATCGAACAAACAAATGATGGGGAAACACACTAAGTCCAGTTGTACGCATTAGGGTTCCTTCTATATGAAAGTCAGAAATACCATAATAATTTTGGAAGGTGTCCACTTAAAGGCTTTAACGGGCGAAATTCCCCCTCCGTCATAAGATGTGCCTGTTTCATTTGTCTAGGGTAACCGAGTAGATGTTGCTCTAACGCCTCTGTTTTGTCTTTTCTTGTTATCGGCATCTAGAACGTACGCTCATCATTAAGAATGTGGTGCAACTCAAATATATAATCAGTCCTATTCATTAACATGATGCCTGCAATCTTGTCTAACCTAGAAAGCATTGATTCTTTGTTTGACCGCAGCTAATTAAGTGACTGCACGTATTCCCCTGTAATATTATAACTAGTATCGCTCAGCCTTCACCTATATGCGACAAATATGCATTAAGCCATATTTTAACTTCTCAACCTCATGCACGTTTATTTTCCTATGAAGCAACTGCGCGTGTTTTAGAAGGTTTCCTCCGTTCCGCAAACAAGCATCACACTGCGGAAAACAGTTGCGAAATTAATCTTTTCAGCTGCGACATCTTCATACGCGTTTCACTTGCAAGATTATGCGCATATCTGCTCATGGCTTTCACGTTTGTATACTGGCTACGTCCCTGTATATCTCACCAGTAATATTCTGGATGGCGATACGACTACATGCATTAAATGAAGTGTTCCAACTCCAATATAGAGCCTTCCAGCCGTGTACTAACTATTAGATACTCATTCAAATTCTTCAAGGAATCGCAGACAATACCGGTCTTTAGAAAAGAAAATATGACCACAAGATTCATCCAGAGTTAGCAACTGGAACCTCTGGGTAATGTTAGGTTACAACAGAATTTGTATGGGAAGTGTATGAGATCGTAACCCCTAAGCTGCACACTTTATGCGACCTGATAATAGGTCATGGTTATACAGTCTGCGGCACTGAATCGCTTGTGGCATACCTCTGGCAGATGACCTCATGCAGGCATTTACCTTCTTCGGTATTTTCATGTTGACTATAATGGTACTGAAAAATTGCATATAGTCAGAGTAAGCCAGAAGCAAGTTTTCCAAATTTTCACCATAATTTAATAGCAGAAGCAGTTCGGTCAGCATATTGCTTACAAAGGATCCAACTTTTGAAGAATATGATGTATTGTAATTTAGCGCATAGGCTGCTCCTTTTCTAATTGCATCATGCGGAATACTCCTTTACTTTATACGTGCTTTGTATGGTCCAGGTAACGAAATCGGATGAATTTCACAATTCAGGCACAGCAGCTCTGGTGCCGGTGCGATGATGACTCAAGTCGGACGTTGATTGGTTGCTGATTTAAAAGGGTGGTCACGCAGAACAGCGTCCCTCTTAAATACCCACTAGTAAGCCAGCCAAGTGCACACTGAAGATAAGTAGCTAGTGCTTCAAACATCGTGGCATTATGCTCAAGATAAACCAATATTCCGCTTGATGTTTTACTATTCTTGGTTATGTCCTATTACCTACTTGGATATATCGGTATTTTCTTGATTTCTGAACCGCAAACTGCATTCCAGACCACTGTGTTTACCAAACCTATTACGAATGTTCAGAAAAGCAACATTTCCACTTTACTATGGCATGCATTTCAGCTTAACAATAATGGAGCATCACTAAGCTCGCAATCGTTATTCTTTCCCGCGGAACTACCAAAACAAAGAAGTCAAAATTGGAATATAAACTTTACGGGAAAGCATGAATCCCAACGTATACTGTCCTTAACTCCACGTCTAAGTGGTGCAAAGAGATTGCCGGGACTTGGCCCTGAGGTCAGCATAGACGCTGCACTTTTGTCGTTCGACGATATGATGGAGCTTCTTGGACGGCACAATTACAACACGAACTACTTATCCCACACTAGACCGTCAGGAGTACACCGAAGGTCAGCTGTTTATGAAAAGCATGAAAGGCTTTTGAATCGTCACATAGGAGGCAAACGGAGGACCAGCAAAGTAGACAAAAACGAGGAAAGCTGGAAAACTTATTGGTCATCTAAAAAAGTGTACAAAAGACTGAAAAAAATTCTAGGAGAGCGGCAAATGTTGGAGTTATTTGAAGGTCATAAACCTAACAGAATGGGAATCTTTTTTGACGTGGATCAACTTAGAACGCGAAAACATTCTCACAAGATGCCCAGACAGCGGTTTGTTACGCATTGGCCATCTTTGAAGCAGAAACGCAAAAGATTAAAGCAATATATCCATCTACTGGCATCGAACTACCCTAAATGTCCCGTGGAGTATAATTGGCACGACCAAGGGGAACGCTACTGGCCCCGTTGGATCCGACTTGGACGTTGTGTGAATCTTGGTGGATATTCTTGTTCTATACCTCCAGGATTGTATTGCCAAGGAGCCAAAATCATCGAGGTAACAGTGCTTCGCTACTTTTGTTTCAAACATTGGCCAGTATCAAAATGCTCTTGGTACCGGATTCAACGACCGATATTGACAGCCTGCCGATGCGGTGGATGTTTACTGATGGAAATCAGCCATGTAAACGCCGCAAACTTATGATTTTATGCAGTTGAAATTGTTCTCCTATGAGATAGCGATGTAAAAGCCATGAGCTCATTGTTTAATCTACCTCATTTTCAACGTTCTTCAAGGTAAGCGCATGCACTTCTTCCTCCTCAAAACTGCCATTGCCTGTTTCTGAAATTGTCTCACTGGACCGTGTGCATTTTCTAAATATGAATCCGGAGACAAAAACCTGTTTCTATCATATCAATGTTTAGGTGCTGCGTATATTTATTTGGAAGATAAATTTGCGCCCCTATCTGGATTTTTAGCTTAGATTATTAGAAATGGTACACGTACTAATGGAAACACAGGCACAGAAGCTATCGCTTAGTTGTGGTTAGTGTAGCAAATTCAGCATAATGATCAACTTAACAATTCACTAATAATAACTATAGACCACGACAAAGTAGAATTTGTAACGTGTTAAGTAATAGATGAAAAACCCCTAAAAACTGGTAGAATATGTTCGGAGTACCACCCAGCATTGTTACATTAGTATACATGAAATATGTTACAATTGTGAGTATCCAGTCGGGTGAAATTGTCAAGGAGAATTACTTTGCAAGCAAATCGAGGTAAATTAATCGAAATATGGGTAACGTTGGAAACGTAACTAATCAAATTGTATTAAGCAAACAAATTAACTTCGCTATGAAGCACCTCTTTGCTTCTATAAGTTTTACTTAGGTATTCTTTTTCACTGATTTGTGGTTGGGCCGCAATGGGTGAAGGGTGTATATTAAAATTGCTTTGGATGTTGTGTATTGAGACTAAGACTGAGACTGTATTTAAGAGCAAGTAGAAAGGTTTCTGTACAACTCTATCGAATTACGAAAAATCAAAATTTACTTGTGAATTATCAGCAGTTGTGTCTGGTCCGTTAATCGTTTATCCTTGTTCGGTTAGAAATTTGTATAATGTCATTATTTCCGGGCATACAATGTCTTCTTTTGGCACTGTATGTGCATCGTTTCACAAAAGCACAGGTTTCCAAAATAATCGTCGATACGGGTTTTAAAACACTTCACAGAATCCGCCTCTATTAATCCTCCAGGTAGTGTATTCCATAAGTTTACGATTCTTCGTTCGATACAAAGCTGATGTGATACTTTGTTCATGCTGGGGACCCTGAGTTTGTAACGATGTCCTCGGGTGTTACAGGGTTCCCGCAGGTGAAATATTGGCCGCAGTATGGGGAAGTGATTCAAGTGTAGTACCCGATGGGTCATAATAAGGTCAATTCTTACTCGGCGATAGGATAGTGTGTAGAGTCCGAGCCTTTCACAACGTTTTTCATACAGAAGCTTTCGTAGGGTCGGTATCATTCTAGTTGCGATACGCTGTATTGTCTCCAGTTTTTTCAGTTTCCCATTGGGTTATCAAATGGTAAGCTGGGGCACCGTATTCAAGGATTGGTCTAATGAGCGAGGTGAATAGACGAGGGACGGTTTCTTCGGACCATGTGGAGAAACTGCGTCTTAATGCCCAGAGCATACGAAGTCCAGCACGATAAAATTTCTCTGTATTTTCTAGTGATCGAATATCATGTCGTGAGAGAACTCCTAAGTCGCTGACAGATGTGTTGGGATGGAGCAATTGGCCGTCCAAGTTGTATGATCGAGTGGCTGGACGTCTGGTGATACTGATGAACTCCGACTCGCTTGCGTTAAGAGGCAGTTGCGTTTCAGTGGACCACGTTGACAGTCGCTCTAAGTCATGCTGGAGGCGAGCGCAGTCGTCCTGGTTCTCAATGATCCTCCAGATTTTCAATTCATCTGCAAACAGGGCACATGGTGACTGGAGCTGCTGCGGAAGATCGTTGATATGAATAAGAAATAATACTGGCCCAAGTACAGTTCCTTGAGGCACGTCACTGGTCGATGGGAACCAGTCTGTCAGATAGTCATTGACCTGTACTCTAAACCTTCGTCCCACAATAAACTCGTGTAATCACTGAAGTAACGTGCCACCGATTCCGTATATCCTTAGTTTACGAAGGAGTATCTCGTGGTTCACTCTGTCAAACACCTTACTAAATTCGATGTAGACCACATCAACATCCTTCTGTTCATTGAGAGCTCGAACCCACTGGTGGTTTGCATACATCAATTTGGTGATGCAGGAAGGCATTTTCGTGAAGCCGTGTTGCGCTGGCGTCAATACATTTATCGATTCGAAGAACGACAGCAGACACTTTTACACAACTTTCTCGAGAACTTTGGATAATACCGAAGTCAAACAGATCGGTCTATAGTGCTCTCTTTTACTCGGATCACCTTTGGGAAGCGGTCTCACTATCGAGCAATTCCTGTCCTTTGGGACAGATCCTTTAGAGAGCGATTTATTGAATAGGTTTGTCACTGCTGGTGGGATAACAATTGATAGGGACTTGAGTATTAGTGGGTGAAGTCCGTCTGGTCCGGGGGGCTTTGCATCATCGAGGTTGACGAGTAGCTGATGTACTTCGACTGCATCACATTGTAGGCTGTCGAGCAAGATTTGCGCAACCTGTGCCGGTACTGAAACGGCCGCTGGTTTACTGGAAAATACAGTGAGGAAGGGTTTAGCCAGGGAGTCTGCACGCTCCGCGCTTGAAATGAGTGCCTTCCCGTCTAAGCTTTCTAATACCGGTAGGTCGTTCCCAGGTTTCAGTTGACGTTTCAAGTAGGCAAATATTCTTTTGGGTGCAGTTGTGGCCGAGGATGCTAGCTCCTCTTCGAACTGCCGGCGTTTCTTGATATTTCCGGTGTTATAAAATTTACCCTGTTTCTTGTACACCGTGTAATCTTCATCACAACCCGAGCTAATGTGTCTATCTCAAAGTTTGCGACGTCGTCGCGCTAACTGTCTATATTCCCTATCAAACCAATGCGGTTTGACAGATCCAATATTTGAATACTCAAGGGGAACGAACCGAGTACAGAGAGAGTTAAGTTTCCCCTTTATTAATGACCACCAGGCCTCAAGTGACGCATCCTGTGGTAGTGTCCAATCAGTCTGACTTGCGGCTTGGACGAGTCCGTTGAAGTCCGTCTTCCAATAGTTGAATGTCGGCTTCTGTTGATTGTAATATGGTAACGACAGTTCTAAGCTTGCTACAATAGAGCAATGGTCACTGTTCGCCAGAGGTTCGATGACTCTGATCTCTTTTAGCATCTGCTCGCAGCTCGTAAACATTAGGTCCAGACAGGATGCCGAGTATGGAGCTACGCGCGTTGTTTGGATGACATGTTGCGTTGCCCCGATTTCAATAGTCATTTTAGCGAATTGTGCCTCAACGTTGCCATGAAAGGGAAGAAGTCGAACATCTGGCCAAATTACCTTAGGTAAATTTAGATCCCCCATCAGTAAGAACTGAGGGCGGCTCATGTGCTTCTGTACATGTGGTAGCCAATCGCAGCAACGGTTTAATGGGCTCCGATAGTTAACCCCCACTATTAATTCTGCGCACCTGAGGCGGATTGTGCACCACAATTGCTCGCATAAACTGTCCTCGCTCCGATAGATACTGATAAGTTTGCCAGCTAGTGACGATTTTATGTACGACAGAACACCGTCGTGAGCCTTTGATTTTCGGTCGCATCGGAAACAAGAGTATCCTGACAACACGACTTCTTGGGGTATGACGTCGGAGTTCAGCCATGTCTCTGCAAGTCCTAAAATGTCCCGCCGCTCGAGACAGCGAAACAGCACAATTCGTCACGTTTGTTCATTAGGCTGCACACGTTGGCGAATGCCACACGGAGTTCCTGGGAGGTACTGCGGGACGTGCCTGGAGTTTGAGCAACCGGTTGATACGGGTTGGTACACCCTTCTTGATCACCCGAAAATTTACAATTTGTAAGTCAGTCTCACCTTCCTCTTTACTGTGTATGAGCTCAATGACCGCAGACTTCAAACGATTCCTGTCTTCGGGTTCCAAGTCTTGGGGATGTGAATTTTTATGCCTCTCAGCCTTGACAAACGAGACAGTACGAGCTGCGGTAAATTGGGATTTGCAAAGGTGAACCTCAGAGGTCGACATGATTGGTTAGTTTTCTGGCCAAGTCGGATTACTTGTTTAATCGTCACACTGTCCTCGCCCACATCCAAGAGTCTATCGATGAGCCCCTGGAGGAACTCAACCTCGTGATCATAACGTATCTGAGGGCTTTCATCTTTTGACTCCGGTACGTGGAAGACCATGAGATTATGACGCTTCAGCGAAATCAGTGATGAACCTATGGGAGCAGAGCTAGAGGCGCTTAACTGACTGGGTTGTTGCTTATCAGCAGGTGACGTCTGAACTCGATTACATGGGCCCTTGCGCTTTTGAGTTATCCATGAATCCTCGGTGTTCAGAATTTCACAGACAGGCTCTGAAAAATTCACGGACCGATCAGTGAAGCGGCGTTTCGTAGCTTAAGGGTCTGATTCTTTCATCGGTGGGAAGCATGGAACCTGGGGTTCGGTCGGGGTCGAAGACGCTGGTGGTGGTGCAGATCGCGGAGTGACAACAGAAGGCGAGGAGACAGAGGTACTTTCATGAGGTAAGCGATCATGAAATCCGCCGAACTTATTGTCAATTATAACGCGATTGCTGTAAAATATATTGTGCTTGGCTTTTGCGAATTTTCCAATTGTGCGTACTTAAACACCCGTCATTGTAACGAAGTACTAAAGGTTGCTGTTAATGTCAAATGGGGATGATTAGTATACAAAATATTTTACTTTGTCAGAACACGAATAAGGGAGAGCCTTCTGTCCCTCATGTATACCTTTTAAAATAGCATGTGAAAATCTTCGCGATTACATGCTAAGGCATGATAACTGTATTGCGAATGATACATGTAAAGTATATTATGTTTATGAGGTAATTTAATACCTTCATTTTATGTTTAATTGGACTGTGCATGAGAAATGTTTGACTACGACTTTTGTATGCGTCAG